AAAAGAAAAAGAAAAAGAATCTGAGTCTTTAGGGGTCCAAAATTCAAGTCCTGTGCTATTTTTCTGTCCTGCAGGGTGCTTCACTTTGAGCACAGTGAGCTTTTAGGATAGGTTAGCTGCAGCAGGAGCTCCCAGAGAGTGCAATAAATTCATCCATGGAATACCACTGCTTGGAGTTCTCCATCTGGTTGTCAGAGTGCATTTGGCAAGACTCAAGAACAACAATGCTGCTTTGGGCGTAATTAATGTTTAGATAATATGGGTCAGCATGTTCAGCTGCTTCTTGTGCTTACTCCTGGAGTATGAAAAGAGTCGTGTATTGTTGTCAACAGGATGTTTGTTTTCTTTGTGAGTTCTCAGAAGGCCATTATCTCAGTCATGTAAAAGTCATATGAAACTGCTTATGTGCAGATTCAAAGTGGGGGGGGGAGGTTAGGGGCTGGACCTCACTTTGTGCTGTCTGAAATCTAAAACTGACAGATCTGAAACATATTTCGACTCAGTATGACTCCTGAAAAAGTCCTAAAAGGGCATCTAAAAAATCTTACACATGTTTTTAAATAGAATAATGCAGCCCATAAATGGTTCCTATTTAGGGAGTTAAAAGCTGACAGTATCAGTGAATCAATACATAGTTATTATGCCCTACTACCTGCCCTCCCACACCCTCTGCTGCCTCTGACCATAACAGATGATTTAGAAACAAGCAGGTATCTTTACTCAAGTTGTTCATAGTATGCCTCAAGGGAGTTGAAAATGATGTAAGCATCAGAATCACCCATAAAATTCCCTGCACTCTGCCCAGAATTTGACTATGAGTCTAGCCCATGGCAGCTCAGTATCCAAGTGGGTCCTTAGTAAGGGGAACAGGGACTGTCTCTGACATGAACTCAGTGGCTGGCTCTTTGATCACCTCCCCCTAAGAGGGAAGTAGCCTTGTCAGGCCACAGAAGAAGACAATGCAGCCAGTTCAGATGACACCTGATAGGCTAAGGTCAGATGGAAGGGGAGGATGACCTCCCCTATCAGTGGACTTGGAGAGGGGCATGGGAGGAGATGAGGGAGAGAGAGAGTGAGATTGGGAGGGGACAAAGGAAGGGGCTCCAGTTGTGATACAAAGTGAAAAAACTATATTAACAAAAAATAAATTAATTAAAAAAAGAATCACCCATAAAGCTTGTCAAAGACAGAGCTCTATAGACCCCACCAGGGACCCGCTGAATCAAAACCTCAAGGAACAGAGTTCACACACACACACACATACACACCCTCACACACACATACACATGCACGCATGCACTCATGCACACACTCACGCACACACGTGAGTTTTCTTTGTTTTAAAAATATTCATTAGATTTATTTTACCGTTTAAAAACGTGTTGCCTCTAGCTTATCTAAGGATATAGAACACATGCACCTACGGCCATATGCAACAACAGACACAACCATTATAGACGGGTTTTCACTCCAGGTGAAAATTAGAAGTAGAAAGAGGAAGGTTTTGTTGTTGCTGTTGTTGTTTTTACTTTAAACTAAAAACACTGATAATATACATATTGCTTGTCTGATATGATCGAAAGGGCTGTAAAATCCCACACACTGACAGAGAAGCAATGTAGTGACATTGGTAATGCCTCTGCTACTTGCTTCTACTTCACTTCTTTTTTTTTTCATTTTTTGTTTATTACAATTTAATTTGTATCCCACCAGCAGCCCCCTCCCTCAGCCCCTCCCAATCCTGCCCTACCTCCCTCTTATCTTCCCATGCCCTTCCCCTAGTTCACTGATAGGGAAGGTCTTCCTTCCATCTGACCCTAGCCTATCAGGTCTCATCAGGACTGGCTTCATTGTCTTCCTCTGTGGCCTGGTAAGGCTGCCCCCATCAGGGGGAGGTGATTAAAGAGCCAGCCACTGAGTTCATGTCAGAGACAGTCCCTGTTCCCCTTACTAGGGTACCCACTTGGAGACTGGGCTGCCATGGGCTACATCTATGCAGGGGTTCTAGGTTATCTCCATGCATGGTCTTTGGTTGGAGTATCAGTCTCAGAAAAGACCCCTGTGCCCAGATTTCTTGGTTCTGTTGCTCTCCTTGTGGAGCTCCTGTCCCCTCCAGGTCTTTCTATCTCCCCCTTCTTTCATAAGATTCCCTGCACTCTGCCCAAAGTTTGACTATGAGTCTCAGCATCTGCTTTTATGCCCTGCTGGGTAGAGTCTTTCAGAGGCCCTCTGTGAAAGGCTCCTGTCCTGTTCCTGTTTTCCCCCTCTTGTCTTTTCTCCATCCCATTTGTCTTTCTGAATGAGGATTGATCATCTTACCCAGGGTCCTCCTTCTTGCTTAGCTTCTTTAGGTGTACAGATTTTAGAATGTTTATCCTATATTGTATGTCTAATATCCACTTATAAGTGAGTATATACTGTGTGTGTCTTTCTGTTTCTGGGATTGCACACTCAGCTATACAATGGTTTTGTTAAGTTGACATTGACTCTTATGTGATCTTTTAAAAAATGGCAGCAGGGGCCAAAGGATCTTTGTGAGTTAATGTGATATAAATAAGTGACCAAACATGGTTTCTTCTTTTGAGACAAAGTCTCACTATACAGCCCCAGGCTGTACTAGAACTCACTATGTATCCCACTATGTATCCATATAGATCCTCCTGCCTCAGGTTCCATGGTGCTGGACCTAAAGGTGTTTATACACCATGTCTGACTCAGACATTTTTCCATTTAACAAGCTCCTTGGGTGATTCCGTTGATGTTTTCATAATTTAAATGGCTACAATAGAAAGCATCTCAGGAAGTATTTATAGAAGATATAAATATATTGGAGCTATATAGGTTTGTGTGTGTGTGTGTTGGTGGGTGTGTGTATGTATCTAGAGATTCATTAGTCTCATGTGCATATGTATTATCAAAGTATGCTTGCAGATAACTATTTTATTTATGTATTTAAAAGACTAGTCAGCATTTATTAAGCACTTTATACATCAGACACCATTAATTCATACACCAAATCTTTGTTAAGAACCTGTTATTGGCCAGGTACTATTCTTCAGAAAATGAAACAGCCATACTAGCCATGGAGGTGCACACCAATAATCCTAACAATTGAGAGATTGAGGCAAGAGGATCTCAAGTTAAAGGTTAGCCTGGCCTATACAGTGAGTGCTCATCTAAAAAAAAAATACAGTCTGTACAATTATATGCAGTGCACAATACTTGATAAATATTATATTGTAAGAAACAAATATCTGACTTAAATATTTGCTATATTGTATTTTTGTGTGTTTAAGATAGGATTTTGTTACACATTTCAAGCTGGCCTCAAACTCATGATCTTCCTGCCCCAGCCCCCCTAGTGCTGGGATTATAGGTATGTGCCACTAAATCCTGGTTATACTATATTTTCTGTTGCTAATTTAGGGTATACCTACTTATCTAAAGAGCTTACTGTAAGACATTATTTAATCTTAAATGGGCAACAGACCTGTGCATCTTATATTTACTGTGTCTCTTGATTGAACCAAGGCAACATCTACTTTTTGACCTGTACCATCCAAGTTTGTGTAAATGCATGTTTCAGTGTTTGCACAGCCATGAAATCACTAGCAATGAACTTCTCAGGACTCACCCTTATTATTAAGTGCTCACCATGCAATACACTAGATCACTAAAACTTATTCCTCCAGTCAAACTGAAGCTTTGCATCCTTTGATCGAGAGCACCAAGGCCAAAGGAGTATTGCCCTAAGTGACCTTCTTTCTCCTTTGAAGGCAGAGCCATCTATTTTGATGATGACTTGTATATTAGATGTGTGAATGAGCCATGAAGGGATGTGTTCTGGAGATGCCAAGCATAGTACTGGGGTACACTTACTGTGTGGCCAAGTTTGGTCCAGGATATAGAACATGATTTAGTTCCAGAAAAAAAAAAAGAGGCTAGTTTTGTCTGTAAATCCCATGTTCTACCCTTGAGGTCAGAGAATTTACTATGTATATTTAAGGCCTTAAAGGAGAAATACTTTTCATTTCAAGAAGGAGTAAGGGCAGATCTGACCAGTTTCAGCAAGCTGCTCAGCAGGAGCTGGGCAAATAAGAACTACTTAGATAGTTACTTATTATAGTAAAGGTTACTTATTATAGTAACCTTTCTTTCTAGCACATAGGGGACATTAGGAAATCTCCCTTAGCCAACCAAAACATGGTGAGTTAGTACAGTTTTTGCTTAGTTCATTTTAAAACACTTTTTAGTAAATCTTAAAAACAAACAAACAAACAAAAAAACCCAAACACCTCATTTCTTTCTAAGGCTGAGGATAAAGGAAATTACCATTCCCATTTAAGGGCTTCAGAACCTGAGATCTGATAAGGACCAGATGTTATGGAAAGGTTGAACCCTTTTCAATCTGATCTTGTATTTTATAGCTCTTACCTCTTCATTGTATAGCCTAATATATAGTCACTGCATCACTAACAAGGCATTACTATCTCCCTTCTCTCTCTCTCTCTGTGGTGTGTGTGTGAGAGAGAAGGGGTTTACACTAATTAGGTCACTAAGTACAAATAATTATGTGAAAGAATTGGAACTGATATTGATTAGTTTAGCTTTGTACAATGCAGGCCTCTTCTCTTTTTCCTTTGTCTCTTCTTCTGGTTTCATACGGTCATTTCATTTCTGAATAGTAACATTCACTAAAGGGTGAGCTAGAAGGATAAAAAAGTAGGAAAGTCACATTAGATAGCATTCAGGATAATTTTGATAAAAGCCTCAAAAGAGAATGCAGCTATAATTAACAGTGAAATGAAACTTTGAGTTGCTACTGGATTTAGGTTTGCTTACCTCTCATCATCCTTTGTTCCGGTAAAAACAAAACAAAACAAAAACCGAGTTCGTGAAGCCAAACACTTAGGGAAACTACACTCCATTCATCTTGCTGAAGAAGCCAAGTCTACCACAGGGTGGGTGGCAACAATATTTAATACTTTTGCCTGTTTAAGTTTGCAGTGATGACCTTACTCACAAATTCAAAGGTTTTACTGTGATGAATGAGGCAGAACGATATGAAGCTCTCAGACACTGTCGCTATGTGGACGAAGTCATCAGAGATGCCCCATGGACTCTCACACCAGAGTTTCTGGAAAAACACAAGGTACCGCTCCTTCCCCCACATTCTCCCTGTGACAGGATTAGGGACTAGGGCTTTGTAGCTGATACTGTAGGGAAACTGAAAGACTCTTTCGGTTTCCAAAAGAGCAAGCTTTAGGGGCTGACATGTGGCATCACATGATGTAACACCTCCCTTTGGCTCAAAATTAAGGACTGCTATCTTCTTGCCTTGAGTGCAAGTACTAGAGCTGGGCTAGCCAGGTCCAAATGCTGTCTCTCTCTTCTTCTACCTAGAGAACCATCAAGAAGATTCTTAACCATACTCTACTCAGTCATTTCATCTATAAAATTGAATGATACTGCTCTCTCCTTTGTGGGACCATTATAGGACCATTCCATGGAGCTTATGAAAGAATCCAAGTAAAAAACTTGGAAAACTGGTTGTCCCACAGCAGGAGCTCCAAGGATGTCATTGTTACTACTGTCACCAGCATCATTGTTGGTGCTCAAAGACTTACGGGCATCCTTAGACATGAAAGAAATGAACACGCGTCTTCTTTGGAAGGTCAGGGGTGAGGCTCTAAGGGAAAAAAAAAAAACTTTATATCTATGATTTTGTGACTCTGAGATTCCTCCTGACATAAGACTTTTATTAGTTGAAAACATTAGACATTCTTTTGATCTGCATCAAATTATGTTCTTTGTATCTCCCTACCAGCCCCATTCTAGGAGCTAGTCTTTCCTTTTATAGGCAGTACAAAAAAATAAGATTAAGCTGTTCTAAGAATTTTCTTTTCTATTTTTAAATTCGCAATGCAGAAGAGAATAGAGAACACTGATAAATGTGCATGGGTAATAGCAGAGGAGACAATTTCCTGGTGAGAATGAAAAGAAAAGAGGAAAAACTACAATATGATTTACTACCAGTAATCATACTTTTTTTTTTTTTTACTTAGCATATATTGTATATTCAACATACGGCAGGCTTTTTAGAGGATACTAATAATGACAATGATGACTGCTATTTATTATTTACCATATGCCCAGCACTGTGCTAAGGACTTTGCTATTATATAAAATGAGTTCAGTGTCATGGCTACCCTGAGTTATTATTATTATGCATTGAAGAGGAAGAACTAAGCTTAAGTACAGAGGATAGAATTAACAACAACAATAAAATATATATCGAACACTCACTACGTACTACTTTCTATTTTTAAGCACTGTTACATATCATTTCAATCCAGCAATTCCTCCTTGAATTTGCACCACAAAGGACAATACCTGGAAACATTATGGTTCTTGTAGCTAGGGGCTGCCACTGATAGCTAGTGGGTGTTAAGCGTGAGATGCTGCTTGGTGTCTTCCAATGCACAGGACACCCATGCACACACACCCCAAAATTATCTAGCTCCTGTTGTCATCGGTATTGAGGCTGAGGAATCCAGTTTATTAATTTTATACTTTGTAAGTGGGTGGGTAGGAATGATACCCTGGAAAATCAAACTACTCATCTAAGTAGTCTTGAAGGGCAATAAAGGCCTAGTAGTGACTTGCCTCACTGTTGTAACAAAATACCTCACCAAAGCAACTCAAGGAAGGACGGAAGGGCTCATTTTGTGTGTGGAAGCAGAAGCGAGAGGTAGCTGATCACATGATCTCCAGAGTTATGGAAGCTGAGAGCAATGAGAGCTGGTGCTTCCTCCTTTTTTTTTTTTTTTGGTCCAGGAGCCAAGCCCATAGCGTGGTACCACCTACATTCAGGGTTGGTCTTCCCACGCACTTAGCCTAAGGTAAAGACTCACCCTTGGACACGCCCAGAGATGTGTTTCCATGGTGAGTCTACGTCTCATCAGGTTGGCAATAAAGGCTAACTATCCCAGGAGGACAGCCCACTTGACAGCTTGTAGAGGAAGCTCGGATGAGTTAGTGTCATAACCCAGATGACAGGGCCTTCTTCTTTGAGGCTGATCGTGAGGGGCTCTTGCAAATAGTCACAGCTGCTCTGATGAAGCAGGTTAATGGCTGTTGTGCCTACAACATAGCATTCTACAACTGCTTTATTTTAAAAGGCACTGGGCTGGAGAGGGGAGGAATCACCAGTTCCTTTCAAATCTGTAAACCTGCCTCTCCTCAATGCCAGTATGGTAATGTTCTTTTTTCTCTTTCTTCAATAGATTGACTTTGTGGCTCACGATGACATTCCATATTCCTCTGCTGGTTCTGATGATGTTTATAAGCATATAAAGGAAGCAGGTGAGGCATTTCCCTGTCTACCACACCACACAACCAAGCATAAGATGATAGCTGCTATAGGCCTGCAGCATGTATATCCTGAGTGTTGGAAAAGTCACTTTCCCAGCAGCCATTTCTGTACCATCCTCTTTGCAAGAGCTCCCTTAGAGTGCAAGAGAACTGGGGAAGAACTGGGGGCCTTTCATTTTTCAATCCCAACCTTGCTTTTAAGGAGTTCAAAGAAAAGAAATCTTACAGGTTTCCAAATTTTCCAGTTTGGTGCAGCAGAGAGGCTGTGAACACTGTGCAGAGGAGAATGAGAGAAAAAACCTGCTTGGTGTGTGAGTTACATCATAATGGATTATAGCATGGAGGACGAATACCTTCATAAGGTCTGCATTGTAAGCCAACTCTTCCTTCCCTAAAAACAGCAGCATAGAGGTAGATCAGGAATTAGGATCCAGCTAAGAAACCCCAAAGTTAACTGAATTGCTCAAGAACTCTTAGTTACCTTGGGCATATATCTGGTAGGGTTTTTTTTTTTTTGTGTTTTGTGTTTTGTTTTGTTTGGCAACATACCTTTACTCTGTAGCTCTGACTGGCCTAGAAATCATTATGTACCTTTGGCTGGAACTCACAGAGGTGGCCTGTCCCTGCTTCCCAAAGGCTGGGATTAAAGGCATGATATATGCCACCATGCCTGTGTTTTGTTGTTGTTGTTTTGTTTTGAACGTAGCACTACAGATTGAACATAGAGCTTCCCATATGCTAGGCAAGCATTCTACCGTAGACTGAAAGTTTTTGCTTGACTCTTTCAAATTGTTATAGTTAGATGCTGATGGGCTCTCCAGGTCTCTGAAGGCTTGGGGTTCTGCTATTATACACTAAGTAGCTAGCTTTGGTTGTTAGCTGTAAACTGGGAGCTCAGGTGTATCTGTCACTGGGGCACCAAGAGATCATGTCCATGTTGTCTGGGCTTCTCACAGCATGAAGGCTGGGATCAACTGTCTAACGAGCAAGAAAATTTGACAGATGCCATAAGGATTCCTGTGACCTAGCGTTGGAAGTCACATACCATTATTTAGATGACTTTTTAAGTATAAGCAAGTCACTGAGGCCAACCAAATTCAAGGGCAAGGGAGTTGTAGGTCTCTTTCAAGAGTTATTTTTCTGTATTATTATCTTATATATGTGTGTGAACTTATTTATTTATTATAATATATTCACTTTGTATCCTGGCTATGGCCCCCTCTCTCATCTCCTCCCAGTCCCACCCTTCTTCCCTCTTCTCCCCTTATGCCCCTCCCCTAGTCCAATGATAAGGGAGGTCCTCCTCCCCATCTATTAGACTCTAGTCTATCAGATCTCATCAGGAGTGGCTGTATTGTCTTCCTCTGTGGCCTGGTAAGGCTGCTCCCCCATCAGGGGGAGGACATAATGAACCTCTTTTTTAAAATATAGGTTTTTAAAAAAATATTCCCTGAGAGCTTTATACATGTATTCAGTAGAACTTGATCATGGCCAACCCAAATTCTCTCCACAGCCTTTGAAAGCCTCCTAATACTTTCACCTTCTACTTTCATGCCCTCCTTTAAAAATAAAATCTGGGGCTGGAGAGATGGCTCAGGGGTTAAGAGCACTGTCTGTTCTTCCAAAGGTTCTGAGTTCAATTTCCAGCAACCACATAGTGGCCCATAACCATCTATAATATGATCTGGTGCCCTCTTCTGGCCTGCAGGCATACATACAGGCAAAGCACTGTATAAATAATAAATAAATAATCTTTTAAAAAATTGTAATCCACTAAGTCCAGTGAATGCTGCCTATGGGGCCATGCAATGGAACATGAGCTACCCATGAGACCCTTTACCACAATTAACTTTCTACAACAAACAGTCTGGTGGCATTTTCTTTTCCCTGGTAGTGTAGGCCTAAGACTAAGGGTGTGTGCCTTCTTTTATACAGAGAGCCTTCCTTATGATCCATGAATCTGCTCCACTGATTCCTCACTAGGAAGAAGAATATTATAAGGATCTAGTTGGGATGTATATAGAGACAGCCATAGAGTGGTCCCTGTGGAAGAGTCTCAGAAATGACCTGAGCACCCATGTGAAGCTTTTATGCTCCATGGTTTATTTGGAAAGCAAAAAAAAAAAAAAATCACTTTAAGTGAAGCAAGAGATATCACAAGTATAAATTAAGCTGCACAACATTGTGATCTGTCAGAACTGAGTGTCGAAATCCTCTAGGAAAGCTAGATGGAAAGATAGAGCTGAGCTGAGATAGACTGTAAGGTCCACATTACTCATTATCATTCTGATAGTGCCTACTACTGTTGAAAGTTGCTTTATTAACATGTGCTTTGCTGCTTCTTAAAATAGCTCCATAACCAAATGCTGCAATTCTGAAAAGCATGATAAAAAAGGTTCTCTGATCATGCTCATTACTGAATATTTTTAGCAGAGCAATAATTAGGATTTGGAGGAAGCTGGGTGCCTCATTATGTCAGCAGAGGGCTTGGCTTCTTTCAGAGACCTACCTCTCAAGCAGCCAAAGCAAATCCTCCCAACCCCAACTCTGCTTTCAGTTATTTAGCCACAGTCTCTGACTTCAGACAGGGCAGGCTCATGCCCCCTGTGTCCAAGTGACTTGCCACAATCAATTAATAACTAAAGAACCTTCATATTTCATCAATCCTGAAGCAAGATGGGATGAATTTTTCTACCAGAAAGTTTTCAACTGTTCCAATTAAGGTGAGTGTTCTGTCCCAGACTGGCTGTCTTGGGCTCACACAGGGACCCACCACCTACAAAAGCCCTCCTCCTGTACTTGGTTGGCGTTCTCTTCATATCTATATGTGTTTGCCTTTCCAGCCTTCCATTTGGTTTTTCTGTGTGGTTTCACCCTTCTAGAAGATGCTCAAAGAAGTTTCAGATCTAGTGGCCAACCCCAACTCTGTCCTCTAAGCCATGGATCACAGTCAGATGCTCCATCTTTAAGATCTGCAGTACCACCCTGCTGCTGAAACTGTGAATGTGCACGTGACACTTTTAAAGGTCCCAAAGGGACACCTAGGGGCAGCAAGGCAAAAAATTCTGAGAGGCTTGCATTTGCAAGGGTGTTGAGCATCCATATTCATCCTGTTATTTATTCAACAAATTTTCTGATAGTGCCTGCCTGTCACCTGATGTTGAGACTCTAGGAGAAAACAAGAAGGGTGTGGTCTTGTCCCTCATGCAGAACATAGGCAAGAAAAAAAATTGCCAATGGAACGGTTCCACCAAAGACTTTGCAATATTTGAGAGAAAAGAGCAGTGGGGCCAGCAAACAGAAAGAGCTGCTTTGGGAGTTGAGACTTCATTTTCTTGATACTAAACCTGAAACCCAGCAGGTTGACACGTGTTAAGCAGAGACTGTGACAGATATAGAGGAGAGCCAGTAGTTTTAGGACACTGAAAAAGCCCAGCGTTGCTAGGTACAGACCCAGCTTCATAGACTATATGCAAGACCTTGTGCAGTATAGGAGCCTTGGCTGAGAGTGAGGAGGAGAGGCTAGGAAAAAGCTCAGGAAGGAGATTGTACAAGCTGTGGCAGAACCAAGTTCAAGGCTTTGCTCTAAACACAGTGGAAAGTCGATGAAGAGGAATGAGCAGGCATGTGACTTGCATTTGCAAGGATGACTCTGTGGATCTTGCAGTGTATGTTAAAGTGGACAAAATGACTTCACTGGAGCTGGAGCGATGGCTCAATGGTTACAGAGTACATTCTGTTCTTACAAAGGACCTGGTTGCCGTTCCTAACATCCATCTCAGTCAGCTCATAACTGCTTGTAATTGTAGCTCCAGGATCTGATATCTTCTTTTGGCCTTCCTGGGCACCTACATTCATGGGCATACAAACACTCACACATGCATGTACACACAAATGCAAGCACACATGCTATGACATCACTAAGGACTGATTTTTGAGGCTCTGGATGTAACCTTTGAACAAGGTGGTTTAGGTTCAGCTAAAGACAGAGGAAAGTGGTTGAATTAGGAGAGCATTTGAGGAGCAGGTTGGTTATTACAAATTGACTGGATGTGGACAGTGCAAGACAATGTTCATTTCTATTTTTTTAAAGAAATAAATTTAAAAATATAAAGACCACACAAATAAGTGTCTATTACTGTGCAATGAAGGGGATCAGACATTTGGTTTTATTAAATGAAGATATCTTTATATCCAAAATGCTGTGGGTCCTCTTGTTGACATCAGGAAAGACTTCAAAGAGGTGCAACCTTGATGATAGACCATTGAGGGTGAGGAAGAACTCTGTGGATAATGGGGTAGGAAATGGGTACTCATGATAGAAAGGAAAAGTTGAGCATGAGTAAATGTCAGGAGCCGGTAAATGTGAGTAGATGGTGTCTCCTGGGCCAAACCTGGGATGATGGCTACACAGTGTTATGGTAAAAGAAGTGGATAGTACTGAGGCTGGAAGAGTCAACTGGGGCCAGAAAAAAAAGTCTTCCTAGACTACCCAGAAGCTCCAGTTTTGTCCCGCAAAAAAAAAAAAAAAAAAAAAAAAAAAAAAAGGATCATTAAAGGAAAATAGGCCGACTGAGATAATCTCACCTTTATCTTTTTATTCTTACTTGGACAGGCATGTTTGTTCCAACACAAAGAACAGAAGGTATCTCAACGTCAGACATCATCACCAGAATTGTCCGAGACTATGATGTATATGCCCGGCGCAACCTACAGAGAGGGTACACAGCCAAGGAACTGAATGTCAGTTTTATAAATGTAAGTGTGCCTCCCCGTGCACCCTGAGAGCTACCACATTACACCATCATGACCGTAGTTTACTTTGCACTGTGTCGTGCTACTAATGCTTTGTAATGATTTTCACCGTTGTCTTGTTTAATCCACATTAAAAACCCAGCGGTGTGCTTTAGTTGTCCAGAGGGCTGCCTTGTATTGCCCAGGCTGGTCTCAAAATTGTGACCCTCCCGCTCTAGTTTCCCAAGTGCTGGGTTTACAGGCCTGCACCACCTCACCTGGGTCAGTGATGATGTATATATTTACAAATGAGGAGACAGTGTCCAAAGAGGTAACGTGAGGCAACCAAGGAGCATAGGCAGCTTCACATTTTATAATGGTGCTTCCTCGCTTCCCTCCCCTGCCCTCAAACCCCTTTTTTTAGTTTTCAGAGGTGGCAAAGGATTTCTGGAACATCTGCTCTTTGGGAAAGGCAAGTGTCATCTTCTCAAAGGAAAGGAAGGTGGGCGGAAGCAATGAGATACTAAACCCAGAGAAAATGCTTTCTTGTTTTAACGTTTTACAATTTTCATTTTATTAAAGCCTTACAGACTCTCATTAGAAACCTTAACAGCCGTTTTTTATTGTCCAGAGAAATTACAGCTGCTTAAATAAAGCCTGAAGCCTTTGGCTTCCTTTTGTATTTCTACCTTATTGTTCCCACAGAGCTGCTGTTAGTTTAATAATAGAGCACTGTTAAAACAATCTTTAAAACAAGCAAAACAAGCTGTTACAAGGCAAAGAGAGTAGCCGGATGGTTGGGGGTGATGTTAGTGAGTATGGACAACTGGGGTTACCAGGCTTCCAAGGATCCCATGATTTTGATCCAAACAAACACTTTGTGTGCATACTATAGAATTCCGGCCACCCAAATAGATACTGTATTTTCAAAGGGTGATTTGTCTACAAAAGTAGGCATTTATAATTATGTGCAGCTTTAATTATCTAGCATCTTACACAACTGATCATTGGTACCTTCAAAATAGGAGGGGCTCATTAATTTTAAGTCAGTGATTATTCATTGTCTTGATAAAGCAGGAAGTATTGGGATTCAGGCCTCTCCAGCTTCGTACAAGCCAGGGAACAAAATGGAAAATGCTGGGTTCGAGTGGCACCCGAACACATGGCTGAAAATAATTCAGCCAACATGATGATTTGGTATCTTAGAGAGAATAAAGTCCTGGTTATTTCAATAAATTAAACTGTCTGTTCTTTTAAATTGAATTCAGTCAACCATCCAAGCATAGCAAGCCATTTCCAAAAGTTATTGCTCACTCTCTTTAAATGGTCTTTAGATAAGCCACTTAGCTCAGGGAACCGTGAGGACAGTGGGGGTGTGCTTACTGCCTTTCTCTGACAACAAGCCTGGCTGCAGCCTCAAGAAAAAAAAAAATTGAATGTTTTGGATGGGCGTGTAAATGAATCACAGAACCTTAGAAGTGGCAGAGACCTGATGAGGACCAGTCATCCAATCCATGTCCCTTGACTTTGAGATAAGGTAAACGGAGCCCAGGGAGTAGACAAGACCAAGGGAGGGTGTGGGAGAGGTGGAGGTAGCGGCAGCCCTCTAAATCTTTTGACTCCCAACCCAGAACTCACTCTACTGTTATGTGCTGTCACTGAGTACTAAACAAAATAGCCATTTCCAGTGTTGAACCAAATGTGGATGGCAGGATATAAAGACTACAGCTAACACTTATCTGGAGCCAACCAGATACCCATCTAAGTGTTTTGACTACATTATTGCATTTAATACTCATGATAAGCCTACTGGGGTGTGTATGTGATGACACTATCCACCTTATAGGTGAGAAAACAGAGGCCTAGAACATTAAACAGCTCACCTCAGACCACACTGTAAATGATAGAAGACAGAGTGACTTCCTGTACCACACATGTACGATTATATAGCTCAGCAGCAACACACACAGCTTATATCCAACCCCACCCTGAGGCTGCAGTATGGTTTTGGAATGTCTAAATGAGGGACTCTTGACCTAGTTTTCTAATATTTGAGGCATTTTACAAAATTATAAAGTATAAAATGAGTTTGATTCCACACGGTAAAGAAAAAGAATATATCCTATGACTCCTTTAGAAAAAATGCTGCGAATTCAAAAGAAAAGGCCCTTTGTGTGATACTTTCATTGTTTTGATAACGTGTTTATTAGGTAACGCAGATAAATGTCTGTGGTGCTTTGTAACAACATAACTAACACATGTGGAGCAAATGCCAGGTTTTGAGCCATACATTTGCATACATGACCTTACCTGATTGTCATAACAACCCTGTGAGGTAGGACATGATTATCACCCCCACTTTATTGATGAGAAAAACTTAGGCTTAGTAGTGACTAGTGATTTTCCCATTACAATATAGCTTCCTGGAACAAAGGTAGACAACATCATCGTATAAAGAAATCCAGATGAGCAATCAAAATAAAAGCTTTTTTAAGTCCAGGGAAATCAATGCAATTTAATTACCCTCGTGAAAAATTAACAATGACAGTTTTAGCATGAGACATGGGTACCAAGCCCAGTCAGTGGAAAACTTAATATAAACCGTATTGGTTTTAACACTACCTCAGTAAAACAAAATTTTCAGGCAGACTTTGAGCAGCCATTCTGTGAACAATGAATCTTTTGATCTAAGTTCCAGAAAAGTGGGGGTATTTGCTTAGTAAAGGGGAGCTTTGTGTGTTTTCCATTTTTTTCCTCAAATGATTTTGACTCATAGATGTTGAATGCATTGAACATAACACATTTGTACTTGCCTTTATATATCTAAAGAAATTGATGTGTGAGACACATATCCCCCCATCAGACACATGCCCTTTAAATATATATAACTCTTTACATTAGGAGCAAACCCAAGTTGGTATAAAATAAAACTAACACAGACGAACCTCTCTGATGCCCTCCTGAATCAATCTATTTCTTTTTCTTGTCAATTTTAACCAGGAAAAGAAGTACCGTTTTCAGAACCAGGTGGACAAGATGAAAGAAAAGGTCAAGAATGTGGAGGAAAGATCAAAGGAATTCGTTAACAGAGTAGAAGAAAAGAGTCACGACTTAATTCAAAAATGGGAAGAAAAATCAAGAGAATTCATTGGCAACTTCCTGGAACTGTTTGGGCCAGATGGCGCATGGGTATGTAGCTATTTCAATTGGCATTGCAATGGCAGGCATTTTCAGCTTAAATTCATTTCATGGTGTTACTTTTCCAAGATATCCCTTATCTAGTAGCCTCTGTTTGGACATCATCCCAAGTCACTCCAAGTCCACGTCCTTATTCAATTACTGAGTCATCCCTCAGAACGGTACCAAAATGGCACACAAAGTGGGGATCTCCTCTGTTCCTGTTTCCAGAACTTGGAAAAAATTTTTATTTTTTTTATTTTTTATTTTTTTTATTTTTTATTTTTCTTTTATTAATTACACTTTATTCATTTTGTATCCCCCCATAAGCCCCTCCCTCCTCCCCTCCCGGTCCCACCCTCTCCCCCTTTCTGCATGCATGCCCCTCCCTGAGTCCACTGATAGGGGAGGTCCTCCTCTCCTTCTTTCTGATCTTAGTCTATCAGTTCTCATCAGAAGTGGCTGCATTGTCAGGGTTCTAGGTTATCTCAATTTATTCTTTGCTCATATGTTACATCCCAACTGCATTTTCCACTTCATCTTCTCCTCCCTCCCTGCTCCCCTCCTCCTAGCCACTCCTCCTCTATTTCCCTTCAGAAAAGGACATGCTTCCCAGGGATATCAATCAGACATGACATGTCAAGTTGCAGTAAGATTAAGCATCTCCCCTCATATTAAATTTGGATGAGATAACCCAGTAGGGGAACAAGGGTTTGGTGAGGTGTTACACTATTTTGACCTAGAGGGACATGAACAAACATCTATTCGCCCATTATAGAGTACCAGTGATAGAACCAAAGTAATGATTCCACTTCATTCTAGCTTGACCTTATTGTCAAGGATTTTATTGTTAGACTTACAAAAGTACGAGTAAGGGGTTACTAATCGTTATGTGAATGACTTCAAAACATGTAGTTCAGCAAAAGTCCCAGCACAAAATGGATGACAACATTCCTATAGCTGAACAGGTAGAGTTCCCTTTCAGTTAGCCTTCCCTACTTTATATATTCTAGCAGCTCTCAAGGCCACAGGCAACTTGGGCAGAATTACAGTTGGTAGAGGATGCAAGAGGTAATGGCTAGAATCCTGGATGAGGGTCTAGCGACCCTCCCCGTTTTCTCATCCTATATGTTAACAGTCCTGATCTTACAGGTCTCCTTGTGGGGGGGGGGTGGTAATCCCATTGGCTCTAATGGAGTAAGCAGTGGATCCTGTGCATGGGGCACAGTGCTGCACAACAGGAGAATGCAAAAAAAAAAAAATCAGAGCTGCTCCAGCACCTTGTGTTGTCAAGGAACTCTGTCACTGGTAAAGAGAAGCAGCAGAATTTTGCCTTGTAACTGTGCCAATCAAACCTTGATTTTCCATCCCTTCCCCTTTCACATGTAGTTGTTGGTATAGGTCCCAAACATCTTAAGGGACTAAGACCATGAGCCAAGAAAGCAAAGGCATATTTTTTCCTCACCTAAATTTTGTAGACAATTGTTGTTTGATAATGGTAGAAAAGGAAAAGAAAAGTCTGGAAGCCACAATAGTGCATGCCTTCCATGAATTAAATAACCAATACTATTATAAGAGTTGATAAGGGTTTTGTGAAATAGATATCTTTAAATTGACTTTCCTTTTTTTTAAAAAAAAATGCTATGTATGTTTTTATATGCGGGTGTACATGTGTGGGACACGGATGTCTGTGTGCAGAGAACAGCAGAAGGTGTTACGTGTCCTCCTTTGTCACTCCCCCAACCGCCTATTCCTTTGAGCCAGGGTTTCTCCCTAAACATAGTGCTCCGCTTCCCTTGGCTAAGATGGACTCCAGAAAGCCCACGTAACCCTCGTGTCTTAGCACAGAAGAGTGCTTGCTGCATAAGCATGAGGACCGGAGTTTGGATCCTGGCACCCACATAACAAGCCAGCCATCCTGTACACAGCTATAACCCCAGATCTAAGTGTGGAGAGATGAGAAAGGTCACTGGGGCTTTCTAGCCTCCAACTGACCTTCTTTTGAAATCAGAGAGAAATTATTCCATTTGATCCCCTTAGTCTTACATAGCCAAGATTGGCTTTTATGATATGAGAAGTCTCTAAGGAAATCCACTTCTACTTAATTATTTTATTGTTGGGTTGTCACTACTGCCACTGCTTATTTGAACTCATTTGTTATAGCGTTATCAAAAGTAAAACACTCAATTAGTATGGAAAAAAAAAAAACAAACAAACCACTTTTTGGAGAGCTAGAAGTGGTGCTTTAAGCCCAGTGGCTTCTAATGTGTTATAGACAGTGTTAGAAGCCAACCATGTTTTCTAACTGTAGGCTGAGTTTGCAAAGGAAGGGCTAATTGAGCCATTAAAGAACTTCCAGCGAGCACTGGGAAGAGAGCAGAAACAGATTCTGGGCTCCTTTTCACTTTTCTGTGAATTTTCAGTTCACATGATTTAATTCATGGTCCATTTATTAACGTTCTTGTCTATACACAGTGCTATGGATGAACACAAAGTGTTCTCTGATCTCCCATATATAAAATATGGACTTGCCCTTTTCATCCAGTGTATTCCTTAGTACTTTGCATTTTCCCAATTCTCTGGCTCTGAAGAAACAGCAAATGGTTTTTAATGGAGTCATAGAGAAGCTCATTTGGTTACTGCAATTCAGAAATGTGACTCTGCCAGAAGCCCTGAGATTGTAACTCGTTGGGTGGATGTTTTCTTCACCTGGGGTGAGCAAAGACAGGGAAAGGATATCATTTCATAGAAATTTTATACCCCTAGTCTTTTAAGGCTCCCAGCAAAGGCAAAAGAGTAGCTGGAATTGTTCTTAGGAGTCTGGTGACAGCGAGTGGAGGTGATTTTTAAGACATGAAACCCAGCATAGAGACTGGAGGTTTTTCTTTTAAAAACTTGCTATTAGTGTCAAAACTATTATTAACATTAATTTACTGTATCAGCCAGACTTAGACATTACTTTTTTTTTCTGTTGACATTAAAAGTACAGGAATAGTTACAAGGATGTTAAACGCCAAGATAAGTAATTTGCTTTTCATGAATATGCTATTATTATAATAATTCTTTATTTGTGGATTTGTGACTGGAACTCATTTCTTAAAACAGGGGATCTGTATTACCTGCAAGTAGAGTACTGAGTCAAATAACACAGACTTAGAAAGGCACAAAATCGAAAGACTTAAGGTCCGGAATTCGCTAGGCGGGATTGGTATGCAGCTTCAGAGGCAGGTTACAATGGGTACTCCATGCTCCCTCACTGAGTGAGTGTGTGAAGGAGCGGATTACAAACAACCCCTGTTTGCAGACCTTCCTCACGTCTGCAATGGATATGGTGAGGCTAACCTCTCCACATACACTCTTCCTTTGCCTGTGACACTGGTTTATGGTTTATGGTTTATGGTTTAGTGGATCAAATCCAATAGACAGAACTTTACAATGAATTCCAAGCCAGCCTGTGCTTATGTGAGGTCCAGGGCAGTCTGGGCTGCAAGATGGCTGCAGAGTGAGAGCCTGTCTCAAAAGACAGCCATAACAAAAATAGACTGACTTGGTTTTCTTGGTGTTTATATTTTGTTTAGGAAGACTTTGACTTGCTAGCTCCCCATGGCCTTATCATTTTCCCTGCTTCCTCTGCCTTCCCCAACCTGACTCATTTATGCTGCTGAGATGGACCCGAGGGATATTTGAGTTTGCTCCTTATCTACTGTGGGAGGACACTACACAATGCTGTAAAATAGCAGAATGGGGCCCTAGGAGGCTCTCTTAGAGGATGTCTACCACAATGACTTTCAAGAATTTGAAGCCAGCAACTTATGTATTTCTTAACTGCTATAATAGATTTTCCAGTTCCAGCTTCCGCAGTCTGAGTGGTGGGATATCAGGGCCCAAACCATCATTTTCTTAAAACTCACATCACTTTATTTAACTACTATTAATTGATTCTTCTAAGTTGTCTTGAGTCAACTCAGAAGGTGGCCCATAAACCAACCCAATGTCAAAGAGAAGCCTTTGGTGTTAATATATGTTTACATTATTGTGACAAAATGCCCAAGACTACTTAAGAAGAAGACAAGTTTATTTCATCTACTACTGAAGTGAAATTAATTTAATTAACATGAACTTCTTAAGATTAATAACAAATTACAAAAAAGTTTTAACCTCAGTTTTAACACATGGTAGTAGTTTAGTTATCTTTAACACGAACAGCATGTATAATACATTCTTAGGATGTATGTAGTAGATAAAGCTTTCTCTATGGGAGAAAGAACAAGAAAGGGAGAGGAATATGGAGGCTGAAATTCTTTGGGTTCACTGTTTGGGAGGCTTTTAAGCTCTGTTGCTTTGGGGCTTGTGATTAGGGTAGTATATCATGGTAAAAGAACCCGCTCACCTTGTGGGACCTAAGGGGAGAGAAAAGGTGGCAGGGTTCACCCACAATGATGAGGACTCCTTATTTGGCCTCTCTTTTGAGAGTTTCTGGCCATCCTCCCAATAGAGTGGTGCGTAGGAACAACCTTTAATGCCCCGGTTCCTGGGTGGATGGTCCAAACAGTAACACCTTTCAGAAAAAGACCCAGCATTACCTTTCCTTGTGAGCATTATTGCTAAATGACACATTGCTTCCAAACAGGAGCTCTACACGAGCTTAACTTTGAAGCTCTGTTGCTTCTTTTATGGGTGATGCTGTTTGTCTCCAAAATGGCAGTTAAGGAAGGATTCTGGGTAAAGGGAAGTTCAGCCTGTATGCAGGTTTTGCTTTGGGTTTATGGTCTCCTTAAAGCAGCTCCATTACTTTTGTTTGAAGCATCTGAAGTCACAGAGCAGAAACAGTCTATTTAAATATTAGCACCTCAAACATAGGCTAGTGTTACGAGCGATATCATTTGAAATGATCTGCCACTGCATTCCTTTATTGACTCTGAAAATAAGATTCTCTCCTGCTTAGAATGAAATGAGTCACTTTTCTTTTACCAAACACGAACCCCTTTCTTTTACACCTGAAGGCGAGGATC